CAACGGGGCTCCAAACAGCCCCATTGCCAGAGCGACGTGTAGCATCATGTCGTGGCGACGGCGGTGCAACACGTCTCGCCGTCCCCGCGGCACGGATTCTGCAAAGACATGCGGATCCCCCGCCGCGATTTGGCGAGATTTGGGAGCCCTAGAGCCAACAGCCACATTTGTTTATTCAAGACTGCCCCCACCCCACGTTTAAAGTGGCGGCAGCTGATTTTTTTACCTCAAAAGGAGGGCCGTGAGTCAGGGGAACGGGACTCTTCCACCCTCACCTCCCTGCCATTGGTCACTTCAGCAGGCCCGTAGCCAGGATTTTGTGATTTGTGGAGCAAATTTTTTTCTGGTGGGGCTGAAGTTCTCAGCTCAGAAAGAAAAGCCAATTAGCCAATGGAAAGCTGTTACCAGGGTAGATCTCTAAATTGCAAGCTGTCAACCACTTTAGATGACAGTTCTCAGCTGCTGCAAGTAGTGAGCCAGTTTGGTGTGGTGGTTCAGTGTGCAGACTCTAATCTGGGAGAACCGGGTTTGATTCCCCACTTCTCCACTTGCACCTGCTGGATGACCTTGGGCAAGCCGTAGTTCTGATAAGAGCTGTCCTGGGGAAGAGCCGTTTCTGTCAGAGCTCTGCACTGTGGCCGCGCAGCCTCGAGTGAGAAATTGACCAGTAGAAGTGGGGCAAAGGGAGGTGCGACCGCAGTGCAGCTCTTGTGTGAAATCGGTCTGTGTGTGTGTGTGTGTGTGTGAGAGAGAGAGAGAGAGAGAGAGAGAGAGAGAGAGAGAGAGAGAGGGAGAATTCTTACATATTTAGGTTTCCATTTAATTTATTTCACCTAAAATGATATCTGGGGCAAATGTGAACTTTTCTGTTAAGCTGCAATACGTGAGGAATTTTCTGAGAAGCTTAAAGAACTTTGGTAAAACTAGCGACATTTCTTGGGTGGGAGTTGGTTTCCCCGCATCCCGCCAACAATATTTTAAAGGGTTTTTTTTTCTTTCTTTCAGAAAAGGATCGAAATGGAGGGGTCTGGCTCTGGATCTGGCGATTTTGACAAAGACATCGAACTTCCGAGAGTAAGTAGGCGCTGATAGTTTGCTGAGGTTTCTTAAAGGCCTTTACAAACCACAGGACAAAGTTTGAGTCCAGTGGTGCCTTCAAAACCAACAAATTTGACTCTAGTTATCAGTTTTTGTGTGAATGCACACTTCGATACCATGCGCACGAAAGCTTATACCCAGAATCAAATTTGTTGGTCTTAAAGCTGCCACTGGACTCAAACTTTGTTCTATTGCATCAGACCAGCATGGCTAGCCACCTGAATTTACAAACTACAGTTTGTAAGGGATGGAAGTCTTTTGTAAGCTAAAAATGACTACTATGAATTGCTGCAGAGCTAGACGGGGGCCTAGAAAATTTGGTCCCTTCAGAATTTAGACTTGATAATCTACTTGGGGAATTAGTTTATACCCCACATCACTGGTGACCTTAGGGGTGAGGAGAGGGAGTGGGTTTGAAGTCCAGTCATCAAAAATGTGGGCTGGCGGTGGGTGGGAGCGGGCAGGACCACAGAAACGGGAGCCAGTGCGTTGTAGTAGCCAGTGTCGGACTAGAATCTGCGAAACCCAAATTCTAATCCCCACTCTTCCATGAAAGCTTGCTGGGTGACCTTGGACCAGTCACGCACTCTCAGCCTATCCTACCTCACAGGGTTGTTGTGAGGATAAAGCAGAGGAGAACGACATAAGCTGCTTCGGATTCCCAAACCTGGGTTCCCCAGATTCTAGACTGACACTTTAGCTACTACAACACACTGGCTCCAGTGTCCTCCATCCTGCCCACGCCCACCCACCTCCAACCCATGTTTTTGATGACTGGACTTCAAATCCACTCCATCTCCTCACCCCTTTCATTTTTAAATTTTTTAAAAGGCACTAAAATATTTTTTTAATATATAAGTTTTTTATTGGGTTTTACAAAAGAGACAAACAAAACAAGTATAACAGTGACAAACACAAAAAACCCTCATCGTCATAATATCACATAAATATACAATGCATGAACGATAAATAAAGAATCGTAAATACTTCTCCCCCGTTGTACTGAAAAATTATTTAAGCTAGTAACTTTGACTCATTCCTGGAGTCTAAATCATTAATGCCCTTACTTCAAACCTATAATCTTAAATTTACCGAGAGACTTGATTGGTGTATCCTGCTAATTGGCTCTGATTCATTTAGTCAGTTTCGGGTAACTTATAAAAACTGCAAACAAATACAAAAATAGCAAACCAATTCAGACCACATATCCTGCAAATAGCCGTTCTACTACCATCTCGGTTCAACCTCCTTGCTCAATTAATTATTTGTCCCTCTCATCTCAGAAACAAATTCCAAACCAAAGTCAACTCAAATTAGCTTAAACTACCAATTTATGTCCCTTTACCTATTGCCTCTGATCTCTACCTCAGCAATCCTTTGGTAACATTCCTTTAAGCTAATCTTAACTTTCACTTTCAATATTAATAAATCAAATTTCATACTCCTGACATCCCCACAAAATCTATATTCCGCTAACCTTACACCTTACGCCCTTCTTTTCTGTTTAAACATATTTAACAATGTTTATATCTTATATGTATCTGTCATTATAGCTATTACAGTCACATTCAATTCAATTAACTTTTTTTCTTGATTTCTCCTGTTTTCTTCCACGTGTCTCAAATTTTTGAATTCTTGTATGTCTTTTTCTAAGGTCCTGATTTTCCAAAATTCTTGTTCAAACCCTTTTACAGTCTTATTCAGGCATTTGGGGGTGTTAACACTCCTCAGTCTTTCCCTTAGTTTCTTTCCTTTTATTGTTCTTGTCTTTTTCCTGGCAGTAAGCTCCAGCAAGCCTCTTTTCCTTTTTTGTGTTTGGAACTTTCTTTGATTCTCCAATATAGACACCTGGGTATCCACCTCTTGAGGTTCTTCTTCTTTGGCCATATGTAGGATAGTGTGAGTCTCATTTTCTTGTTCCTGAGCTTCAGCCCCCCTTCTTGTTTCTTGCCTTCGTTCTCCATTGCTCTTCTCCTCTATCTTCTCACCTGTGAGGTTTTTTAAAAAGTCCTCACATGCTGCCTTACAGGCTTGTTTCACCACCTTTCCACAGGCTTGTCTCACTATATTTGCTAATGTTTTTTGGAACTGTTCTCCCATAAGTCCATCATACAGTATGTCATGGGCTGAGCCCTCAGTAGCTTCCGCCGCCGCCATTTTCTCTTATCACAATCCTTCTCTATTAGTCCAATCTCAATATATTTCCTTTAATTTCAACTTCAGCACAACTCTCCACAGTCCACAAGTCTCTTTGGTAAACTTAGTACTGTTTGCAATAAAGCGGTGGCAAATATATTTCCCCCCCCCCGTCACTTTTCTTCTCTTTTTAAGTCCCTTTAACTTTCCGCGGCCGCTTCTCTATTCATCAAAGGATACTCACAGGGGGTCTTTATCCTCTGTTTCGCACATCAAACCCATCGGAGGAGGATCTGTAGCTGACTCACCAGTGTGATACACCCGTGCACCCAAACAACGAAGACAAACAAGGCTTAAAAACACGGCTGGCTGCTGCTATAGGAAAACACTGCAACCATGTTTCCTGCTGCCCGACGCTCCTGCTTCAAGGCAAGCCGGTCTCTCCCCCCCCAGTCCCACCCACCTCCAACCCATGTTTTTGATGACTGGACTTCAAATCCACTCCATCTCCTCACCCCTTTCATTTTTAAATTTTTTAAAAGGCACTAAAATATTGATATATCAATATACCATTGTAATGATAGGTCTAGCAGGTTCTCTGCATTCCCAGCTTTCATTTTAGAAAAGGGAAGTCTCTAGCGTTTTCCCTCACAGAGATATGCCTTTTTCCTTATATTGCCCTGAGGAAAGAGACTAGAGACTTACTTTTAAAAAAAATATGAAAGCTTGGAATTCAAAGAACCTGCTTAATCTGTCATTGTAATGGCATATGGATATGTTTTAAGGCTGTTTTTTTTTCAAAAAAAGAAGAAGGGGAGAGCTGGGATGCCTCCAATGATAACAGCATCCTTCCTTGAAAATCCTCCCTAATAAAGGCACTTGTGGAAGAAAATAAACTCACCCAACAACTGCAAGAACACAGAGGAGGGCAGAAGTGCAGAAGAACCGTACCCAAACCAATTCCCATGCTTGTGGATCGACTGCCAAGAAAATCGGGAATAAGTCAAACGTGCGGAAAATCCCCCTGCGTCCTTTCTCCCCTCCCCTGATCACACTTGTGGTCTGTGGTTCCTGGCCACAAACACAATTCAGTGCCACACCAGGAAGGCCTGCACGTACAGTACCAGCCATTTTGCTGCCTGAGACAAAAAAAAACCCATCTGGCATCAGAGGTCCTCCTAAGCTGTGGAGTCTTGTGAGCAAAAATTCTACTTTGTGAGCTACTGGCATTAAAGTTGTGAGTGAGCGATTTGCCTGCTGCATCAATTAGTTTGCCCTGGAGCCATCCTTCCTGAGCTAAGACAAAGATTGTGTGAGCTGGAGGCTAAAAAACTGTGAGCTAGCTCACACTAACTCAGCTTAGAGGGAACACTACCTGGCATCTAGGAGCAAGGTGAGCGTTCCTCCTGGCACACTTCTCCTGTCCCACCACTACAACCATGTTCAGGTGCAGTCACACTGTGGCCGCGTCAGCCAGGGTGTTCTAGCATGCGTAGTCTTAGCACTTGACATGTGCGAAGTACACTTGAAGCTGGGCTCTCCAGACCTCTGCCTAATCCAGCAGTGGCCTTCTGCCTTCTCCATTCCCAAACAGGCAGGGGAGACAAGCGGTGGAGGAGCAACGCACCGGCTGCAGCTTCACTCTCAGACTTGGGCATCTGAAAGGGACCGGCACTGTCTGTGGCAACCAGGGGTCATTTCGTAGAAAAAGAGGTGCAGGGGCTCATTAGCATAACTCATTAGCATAACTTATTTACATATGCCACACCCCCTGACGTCACCGGAAGTATGTCAGAAGGCAACATTCACTGCTCAGGCGCCAGTGGACTGTTTTGGATAGCTAGCTATTATGTGTGGGGGGGAAGGAACGTGCAGATCTGCCCTCGCAGAGGAGGGAGAGCTTGTATCTGAATAAAACTTGGTCTTAGGGGTGCCACTGGACTGTTTTGGACCGGGGGGCCGGGGGGAGCTCTGCAATTTACCTGGCTGCTTCTTGCTCTGACTGAGGGCTGCTGGGAGCAGGGGGTGGGGCTTGTTGCATGTGCCCGCTCCCTGGGCTCTTTACTGCCGGAGCTCTGCTCCTGTGCACTTCTGCAGGAAATGACCCCTGGTGGCAACAAGCAGAGGGTTGAATGCTACCAATCTGCTCCACTAGAGGAGGCTCTTTCTCCTCTTGGATCAGGCTTCCCCAAATGTACGGCACTCAGAAGATTACAGTCTGTGCAGTGGGATACGCTCAAGAGAGCCTCTTGCATCAGGGGAAAAGACTCCTTCCACTAGAGAAGCCTCCATGGGATCCTGACCAGGATTGCCACTTTCATTTCCTGGCTCTGCTCCTGTGCTTCTTTGTCTGGCACACAGCGACGTAATCACTGGAGCTTCACTTACCTTCATTCCAAGAATTCTTTTGTTGATACATTGATTTTAGATAACATGAGCCCATGGAGCTGCCTTATACTGAATCAGGCCCTAGGCCCACCAACGTCAGTCTTGTCTACTCAGACTGGCAGCGGCTCTCCAGGGTCTCACCCAGAGGTCTTTCACATCACCTACTGCCAGATCTTTTAACTGGAGATGCTAGAAGGTTGAACCTGGGACCTTCTGCATGACAAGCAGATACTCTACCAATGAACCATACATGTTAGGGTGCCTCTTAAGGCACAAAAGGACAAGATTTTTTTTTAAATTGTCATGCTTAAGTAATAACTAAAACTGTACATGCCAAACTGTTGCTTGCTACAAAGCTGTCAAAAGCCCCGGAGTTTCCCTTGGTCAGGGGTTTTCAAGTCTGGTTGATGTGCCCTAAAACTGACAGCTGCAGAGAAGCGTTTCTTGTGATG